GCCACTGTGCCTGGCTGGTAAGAGGAATTTTTATACCCTTTCTGCTAATGAAGAAAATGATGCCCAGAGAGGTAAAGAGACTCTCGTAAACCTCAGTCTAGAAACTGGCAGAGCTCTTTCCATTATGTTATGATGCTTTCGTACAGTTCGGTATCAGATGGGGAAAGAATTTCCTATTCTATGAATTTCATGTGTAAACTTCAAGTAAGTGTGAGTGTGTGTGTGTGTGTGTGTGTGTGTGTGTGTGTGTGACTGAGAACAAGTGAGTGAGAGAGAGAAAGAGAGCGAGGGAGAGAAATGAACAAGGAATGAAAACTCCATGGATCGTCTTTACTTTGCACCATTATTTTCACGGGGCTGGCTGTAAAAAGACACTTTCCCAGTGGGTGACTCTAGACCAAGAGTGCAGGAAGCAGTGTACTCACATAATTTGTTACGTCTAATCTCCTCTGGTGAGACAGGGCGCAGCTTTCTTTCTGCTTTAATTTCTTCTAATATTCTTTCATGGAGGCTCCGTGGCCGTGGTGGGGTTGGTTTCAGTTTTCTGGCTGAGACCTTGGGGAAAAAAAGCACAATGGCTAGAGACTTGAATATTTGGCCTTAAGTAATTTTTACTGAAGTCCATTCATACAGTATAGTATTACGTACTGCCCATTCATATAGTACACTTACAATCAGTTTCAATAATTGTAACATTGCTTGATAAAAGACAATTTTCAAGTCATTAAATATCAAGACTCCTAAAGCAATAGGGAGATTATTGGATTTCACAGTGATTTAGTCGTAGATGTTCAATTAATTTTATTTATGTGTTTAGAAACGGGTTCTCATTATGTTGCCTAGGTGGCTACCATTTACAGGTGCAATCATGGCTCACTGCAGCCTTAAACTCTCAGGATCAAGTGATCTCCTATCTTAGCCGACTGAGTAGCTGGGACTACAGGTGTGTGCCACTGTGCCAACCTCACTCGACTAATTCTAGGAGTCTGTTTCGCTGAAGTTATATTTATATTCCCTATATGCTAGCATGACAGGCAATCAACTGCAATGCAAGCTATGCTTTATCTATTACTATTACTGTTTTTGAAACTAACATTCTTTAGTAATTCACTGCAACCTTCTTAGATTATTATCTTCATTCTATAGTTGAGGAAATCAGGACTTGGGGAAGCTGATTAACTCCCTCAGAGACACGTGGCTGCTAACTTGTGGAGTTAGTGTGCAAATCCAGGTTCATGTGACTCTATGTTCTTTTTGCTCTCCTATGACCTCCCTTTCTAAAATCATTTCTAGGTGGCCTCTTTCCCTTTTTCAAGTTTTTAAATTTATTTTTCCTTATTTCCCAGAATAAGAGGGAAAAATCTTTCCCTTCTTTTAAAAAGATTTATAAAAAGGATCATTAATTATGCTTTAGCTATACTTACGTGGGAAATACCATTCTCTTTATAGTTACTTTTATGTATATAGATTTGAGAGCCCTTGGTGAGCACTAGCTACTGAGCTGGGGGGAAAAGAAGTGAAGAACAGAGGAAACACAAATCAACATTCAAACAGATTAGAATATTCTGACTCCATGGTTACTAGAAAGAAC